TGCTGTAACACATCAAGTGAGGTGATCTGGGGGTCAACAGCAAAAGAACGGAACTCAGGTGGCAAGAAGCTCTCACATTTCTGAGGAGAGAAGACATGGGGTAGGCTATCAGGGGCATATCATCATGCTAAAGCAGAGTGAGCAGTAGGAGGCAAGGTCAGAGAAGTGGCAGGGACCATATCAAGGTGGGCATTCTAGACAATGGTGAGGACTTAAGTTTTTGCTTTGAGTGAGGTGGGAGCATTGGGAGGGTTCTGAGAAAGGAAGGATGTACTTGACTTAAGATTTACAGGATCCTTCTGGCTGCTCTGTCTAGAACAGAGTGGAGGGCAAGGGAGACAGCAGCAGTCTAGTGAGGAGGGGGCTATTACAATAGTCCAGGCACTCAGTCCTTTTTCTATATCCCCTCAACAATGGTTGCCAGGATCATCATGTCCAGTCTGATCTTTATTAAATCAGTCCTACATGCTGCAACCAATCTAGTACATCAAGCTACAACACTTCCCTGCTTCAATATCTTTTGATAAATTGCTGGTCAAGTACAGTTGTCTCAATTTCTCCCCCACTACTCCCCCCTACCCCACCCATCCTCACTTCCCACCCTCAATCCTACCCGCTTTGGCATTGTCCATGTGCCCTTCATACATGTTCCTTGATGACCCTTCCCCTATTTTCCCTGCTTAAATATCTTGAAAGGGTCCCAAACAGGTGGGCCTATAGGACCGTAGCCAGCCTGTCTCCTGTCAGCTTTTATAACTTTACATGCTGGTACTACTAAGCTGCTGAAAGTTACTTGGAACACACCTTTGGTTTCAGGCCTCTGCTTGTGCTGATTCTGTTCTCTTGGGGGTCCTTCCCACTTTCTTCAAATGGTTCACTCAGCTCATGTATCATCTCTTTTCTGAACATTCAAACCTCTACCTTAGAGCTTCCTCTAGTACACTGAAGAGATGCACTTACTCCTCTCCAGAATCTACCCTTTTCTTAACACCACCAGTGCCACCACCCTAGTCCGAGTCACCATCACTGCTTGCTGGAACTAGTGTAAGAGCTTTCTCTTTTTAAATTTTATTTATTTATTTTTAGAGAGAGGGGAAGGGAAGGAGAAAGAGAGGGAGAGAAACATCAATTTGTGGTTGCCTCTCATGTGCCCTCTACTAAGGACCTGGCCCACAACCCAGGCATGTGCCCTAACTGGGAATTGAACCAGCAACACTTTGGTTCACAGGCCTGCGCTCAATCCACTGAGGTACACCAGCCAGGGCTAACAGCTTTCTTACTAAGAGTACACATCAAAGGCCCTTCACAATCTCCCCTCTCTCACCTCTGCAATTCACCTTCATCCACTCTTCCCCTCACTCCCTTGGCTCCAGCAATAAGGGAACCTAAGGGCATATGCCGAGCTAATCCACACCTCCCACCCTTTGCCCTTGCTATTCCCTCTACCTAGAACACTCATCCCCCCCCACAGGCACATGCTGACTCCTTTTAATTCGGCCTCTGCTTCTTCAGTACCTCTCTGGGAATTTCCCTATACAACCTTGAGTAAAGTAACACCCTAGTTCAGAACCTTTTTTATTATTTCCTCATGACATTCACCAGTGTCCGCAGCATCTCATTTATGTAGCTGTTTGTCTCCCCCACGAACTGTCATGTCAGTTCATCCAGGTGGAGACTTGCACAAAAGTGTACTCTCAACACATGTTAACTGACTTCGGTGCCTCCTTTTCACACAGCACCCGCCCCCCATTGCTCAGGGCCTCACTCCTCAACTATTAAGCCCCCTCCTCCATCCCTATAGCCTCTCTTCTCTACCTATAATCTCCACTCATTCAACTCCATAGGCCCCTATCCCTCCATTTTCGTCTCCACGCCTTCCAGCCTTGCTCCACATTCCCAGCTCCAGTTTACTCCAATCCCTGCCACCATCACTAGGCCCTCAAGCCTCTCCCCTAAGGCAACACCCCAAATCTCAGGTCCCGCCCTCCATCCTAGGACAGCCACCACCTTCTCCTTCCATGATAGCCCCGGGCAGTCTGGTTGAGCGTCAGCCAACCTCACCTTGACTCGAACCCGTACCACCTCTCGCTCCTCCTCCTCAGCCGCCGCCGCTTGGACTCCCCCGCCAGGTGAGGGCGCTCCGGAGCCGGCCAAGTCCGAAGACCCAGGGGCCGTCGCCATCCCGCCGCCACCCCCTTTAAGGTGACAGGTGACAGCTGCCCCCTACCTCCGCGCGCACCCCTTGTGAGGCGCCCGCAGCCCCACCTTGCGCCCGAGCGCAGGCGCAAAGGGCGCTACGCGACCCTAGCAACCCCTGTCACCGCCCCTCCCACCTGGCAGAGGGGAGGTGGCCTCTGCGCGTGCGTATACAGTACAGTAGCCAGAAGCCCCGCCCCCAAAGCCGGGCATTTTGCCTTACTTCAGCTAGTGCGCAGGTGCTTACTTAGGCCCCGCCTTCCCCTGTTGCGATTCGGTTGTTTGGGTAGTTTACTTCTGGATTTTCCTAGTTAGTATTAAAGTGATGACCTATTGGAGCGAGAGAAGTGAGGGGTGGGTTGGGGAAGGAAGCTGCTGGGAGATGAGGTTATGTCATCCTACAGCCTGCACTAAGTTGCCTGTGCCTCAGTTTCAGATGATGTCATATATTTCAAATGCTGTGGCCCTCTCTTGTAATGAATACGCTGAACGGAAAAATAATCCCTTTCCCAGAATTTTTTAAAAAAATTAGAAGATTTTATTTATTTACTTTTAGAAAGAGGGGAAGGGAGTGAGAAACGGCAATGATACATAGGATTGGTTGCCCCTCTCACACGCCTCCAGCTGAGGACCTGGTCGGTAACCCAGGCGTGTACCCAGACCTGGAATCCAACGACCTTTCGGTTCGCAGGCCAGCGCTCAATCCATTAAATCACAACAGCCAGGACAAAGTTGGCCCTCATTTTTTAAAAAAGATTTTATTTATTTATTTGTAGAGAGGGGAGGGGAGAGAGGGAGGGAGAGAAACATCAGTGTGTGGTTGTCTCTCATGCACCTCTTACTGGGGACCTGGCCTGCAGTCTAGGCATGTGCCCTGACTGGGAATCAAACTGGCCACCCTTTGGTTTGCAGGAGGGCACTCAATCCACTGAGCCACACCAGCCAGGGCAGTATTAACTTTTTAAAGAATATTGTGCCTTGGCTGGTGTAGCTCAATGGATTGAGGGCGGGCTTGAGAACCAAAAAAGGTTGCTGGTTTGGGCACATACCTGGGTTGTGGGTCAGGTCACAACTAAGGCGAGAGGCAACCACACATTGATGTTTCTCTCCCTCTCTTTCTCTCTCCCTTCCTCTCTAAAAATAAAATCTTAAAAAAAAATTAAGATTCTATTTTGGTATCTTTTAAAATACATTGTTGCCTTGATATTTATATTAAATTGACATCTATTTTCTGGAATGTAGAAATGGGAGATTTTTTTGAAAACCAGAAGAGGGTTATTGACACATTTCTCTTGCCCCATGTGGTAGAGTGAAAAAATACTTATGGCACTGCTGGATTTTTTTTCTTGAGGGAAACAAGGAGTTTCAGAGTCTGTTTTTCATTAAAATTATAGGGCAGGATGAGTGAAACATTAGCCTGGAGCTTGGAGTTTATCCTGAGAGCACAGGCTTTATTTAGATGTGGGTATGATGCGGTCAGAAGCCTCTGTCTTGGATGTGGAGAAAGCCTTGGATGGAAAGGTAATGGAAACAAGGAGACCAACAAGGAGGTTCTTACCATGTTCTGGGGAGAACTCTTTCTTTCATTTATTTATTCTTCCATTCAACAAATACATATTGTATGCCAGATAGTCTACATATATTAATTCATTTAATCTGAATAAAAACCCTATGAGGTAGCATGTTACAGATGAAAGCACTAAAGGTCAGGAAGAAACATGCTCAAGGTCAAAGGGACAGTGAGTGGCACAGAGTAGATCATGAAATGGATGGAAGGTAAGGCTATACTTGGCATGTTTGAGGAAGAACAAGAAGGCCAGCATACCTTAAGAAATGATGAAATCAGTGACGGACATGAGGTAAGTTAGTAACTCATGGCTTTGGCCTTAATGCTGAGGCATTTCTCAAAAGTTATGTTGTAGGCTTAAGCACAGCCAAGATTGGGACTGAAATCCTGCTCTGCACAGGTCACCTGGAGCCAGCCTACAGGTATCTGTACTTTTATCAGTCATTCTTTATCACCTCCTCGAAATTCCTCAAGTACCCATTTGTTTATGATTGAAGATCTGAGGTTAATGACAGAGGCTGTGAGATGAAGGATGAGGGATATCTGTGGGATGAATGGTGGAAATCTATGGAATAAGTGATAGGATGTGAGGTGAGTGATGGAAGATCTACTGGGTAATTGGGGTTTGTGGTGTGAGTGATAGAAGTCTGTGAGGTGAATGGTGGGTGGTTTACGGAGTAAAAGAAAGGCTGTTGTGGGGACAGTAATAGCTGTTTCAAATGTTATCCAGGGGTATATGAGGTGAATAATGGTAGGGTCTCTTGGGTAAATGATGGGGATCTTTAGGGTAGTGATGAGTATGTGGGGTCAGTGATGAGGGTCCTTGGAGTTAACAGGGTATCTGTGAGATGAATGATGGGGTGGCTGTGGGGTGCCTACTCAGGAGGCAAGAGGCTGAGGAAATTCCAGGACTTGAAGATTTGGGAAATTCTCAGACTGTCTCTCTTGCAAAAAACGAGAAAGTATGTTCTGGCAAGAACTCCAAGGGTGTGGGTGGAAGATCACTCCTTTAAAGAGACTGCAGGTGTGTGACTCATGAATATAATCAGCCATCTTAGGAATCTCCGGGGTTAGTAATCAGGGTTTGTGAGGTGTATGTGATTGAAGGTCCATGTGTGATGAGGATGGGGATCTATGGCTGAGAGAATGGTGGTCTGTGGAATGAGTGAGTGATGGAGGGATCTGTGGGGTCAGTTATGGTGCATCTTTGCAGTCAGTAATTAAAGATCTCTCAGTGTTAGGGTCAAGGACTTTTATTTCTTGGTTTTAAAAATTGCCACCACTGCAAACCTCTTAGGTTCTCTTGGACTTTTGTCCCAACAGCTCCTGGCAGTAGCTCCACACAGCCACTTTCTTCCCCATTTCTGGCCCTTTTGGTGCCTGCCTATCAGCCTATTTGACAGATCAATTCACTTTGTCCTTTTGACCTGTGGGAGCAAGAATTGGACTCTTCTGGCAGGTGGATTGTTTGTCATCGGCCAGTGGTCAAGCCTAGTCCATCCCTCATTAGTTCTACTTGCTCTTTGTTTTTGTGGCTTTGGCATCCAGCAGGCTCTGGGCACGGGTGAGCTGCTTCACAGAATCAAACACAAGGATTCCGGGCAGCACCAGCCACAGGGCATTCATGAAAACAAAGTAGAACCAGAAGTAAAGCGGGTGGCCCAGATCCCCATGCTGGAATCCATCACGGTACTCCGTCAGGAAGTAGAGTACATCCCCATAGATCTGACCTGTGGGAGGTAAAAGGGAAAGGGGTAAACCCTGTGAGGAGGATGAGCTATTCCAAAGTATTTTCCAAGTCATCATTTGCAATCTCAGCACTCAGGATTCCCAAATTCAGAGAGCTAAGAATTCTGAACTCATATGGCTGCAAAGTTGAAAGATCGGAAAAATGAGAATTCTAGAAATCAGAACCTGAGAATTTTAGAACCTAGGAGAGTTCATATTTTCAGAATTTAAGGAAGCTCAAAATCCTTTCATTCAAGACAGCTCAGGATTCCAGGACTAAAGAGAACTCACATTTTTTAGAACTAAATAAAGCTAACCATGTAAGAACACAAGAGAACTAGATCTCAGATGAAAGAGGCTCAAAATCCTCAGCCCAGAGGACCAAAGGGCTTCCTGCCAGGATGGACCACCTCATGTAACCTTCACAGGAGACTTTGTGATGAAGGAGGAGGAGAAATGAACACTTCCTGCTTGAGAAGACAGGCTGAGTGGGACATGGCTGTTCTGGAACTTCAAGGAGTATGTCATGCAGTCTGACTCAGCGCTGGATGGGCATAATTGAGAGATCCCACCAACATGGATGCCACCCATGTATTTGCATCCCTGATAATCCCTCCAGCACCGAATATGGGCCCTCTCCTCACCCACAGAGACCACGAGCTGTAGGACAAAACGGAGAGGCTGCTGGCGGAGAAAGGCAACCACCACCCAAATACTGAGTGGTCCCCACAGGAAAGCTGTCATAGTCTCCATGCATATCATGAAGTTGTCATTCCTGTGAGAGAAAGAATGGTGTGACACTGGCATCACTGTGCTCTAACCACAGGGCACCTCATTAGTGCCCCCTGACTTACTACCACCCCAAACCAATTCAGGTATCGCTTGATAGAGGCAAAGACTTACAGGATGTATCGGCTGTCTCCCTTGGCATATTCTTTCCCTGAAGAAGACAAGAGACATACATGAAGAATAAAGGCAGAAAAAGGAACTGAGGGCTCATATAATAAGGCAGGCTTTATAACCTCTCCATGCCTCCATTTCCTCATCTGAAATGGGGTAGCTGTTTGGATTTTAAAGTTAATATATATGTACAAGATAATGTGTGCAAACCTAACATAGAACAGTGTTTCTGTGATTGTCTAGTATTCAGTAAATATCTGTAGAATACAAGGAGGCAGGTATAGATGATGGAGTAAATGAAGTAGCCAATGAGAAAGAGGGAGGAGAGGAAGAGGGAAAGAGGGAGGAAGGGAGGGAGGGAGGGAGGGAGAGAAGGAGAGGGAGAGAGAGAGAGAGAATGAGAATGAAGGTGAACAGATGAATTAATGAAAGAGTAAGCAGAAAATCAGTAAGAAAAAGGCAGATCACACAATATAAAACAGTCAGGAGACTGGAGTATGTTCTTCACTTAAGAGGATTTCCAAATGGTCATTAAGTAAAAGCAAATTAAAATCACATAATGAGCTATCACTCACATCTACTAGAGGGAGTACAATTTAAGAAACACCTGACCATTACAAGTGTCAGTGATGATGCAGAACTCTCATATACCTCTGGTGAGAATATAAAATGGTGCAGCCATTTTTGAAAACAGGTTAGCAGTTTTTCATAAAGTTAAACACACATCTACCATACAACTCAGCCACTCCTCCATATTTACCCAAGGAAAATGAAAGCAGATGTCCACACAAAAACTTATATAACAATGTTCATAGCAGTTTTCTTCATGAGGTCAAAAAGAAGTATTGCCTATAATAGCAAAAGCCTAGGGGAAATCCCACCAATACTAGACAAGTGAAATAATTCTGTAACATCTATGCTTTGAAAGCCTTTTATGAACTGATGAGGAATGACCTGGCTTAAAAAAGCAAAGTTCAGAAGTGTATATAGCATGTTATCATTTGTTTACAAAAAAGGGAAAAATAAAAGCAATGATGACAGTAATAGTTATAGAGCATCTATTGTCTGACTACTACTACTACTACTAAACACTTATATGACATCTACTGTTTGCCAAACACTTTTCTAAGTGCCTTACATATATTTGGGTATTACTATTATCCCTCTTTTACAAGTGAGCAAACTGAGGCTTCTGTGTAAAATTTATGTGTAAATAAACTCTGGAAAAAAATAAGCAATTATTAATAGTGGTTAATAATTGGCAAAACTTGGTGGACAGAAGGTAGATTTTCTCTATATACCTCTTTAAATGGTTTGTTTTTTTGACCCATGTCAATATATATGCTACATGAAGTTATATTAAATTTTTAAACAAATTAATAGAAGAAAAGTTGGTAGGCAGCTAAACATTTAAGCCAATCCCTACACAGAAAATTCCCTCCCAAAGCAAATGAAAGAACTCAGGACTCACAGAGTTGGGACAAGAAGGCTTGATCTCCAAGCAGGTCCTTGTGGTAGAGACTGAACCAGCCCTCAATCACTAAGTGAATAAACCCACACACTGCAAACCAGCAAAGGGACAGTCGCCTCCAGCTTCCCAGTGGGATGACAGCAGCACGTCCTGACAACAACCATGTGGTCACAACTAAGACTCCAGAGGCAGAGAAGAGGCCAGCCAGTATATGCCAAGTAGGGCAGTCATTAGGCACAAAGTTGTCCAGTGTCAGGTGCCGAGGCCAGTATGGGTGCAAGGGACTGGCATTGGTGGCCATGTCTTTGTTGGCTGAAGGCTGTGTGTGGATAAGTAGAAAGAAGAAAAGAGTAAGAGAAAAATCTGAATAAATAAAAAGTACAGAATGAGATCATAAATTCAAATCCAAATGGTTTATTATCACAAGAATGCAAATGGACTAAATTTATTAGTTAATAGACTTGTAAAACTGGACTAAAAACAAAGAGTAATTATATGCTGTTTTAAAAATGTGGCTATAAGGCCACAGGAAGACTGAAATCTTGTTTCTGCCCTCTGGGAGCCATACGATGTGGTAGACACAGTAACCAGACCAGTTCCCTGCCATCAGGGGTCAGTGTTGGCTGAGAAAGACACAGACACCAGGTTGAGTCCCATTGGAGGGGTCAGTGTCTTGCCTCGTTCAGCGGACAGCTATTCCCTCTCTGCAGCAGGGCAGAAGGGAGAAGACTAATGAGAATTACAACCCTCAGGTTCAATGTGTGGAAAGACACACGCTTCCAGCAATTGCGTACACCACCTTTAACCTGCAAGAAAAAGGAAAGTGGAAGGCATAGGTCTAGCGCTCGCAGTGGGTACAAGGGAAAAGGAGAGTTAAATACAGAGACCACCAATCAGAACTAGAACCCTCTAGTCCAGCTGCCCAATGAGAAGGAGGACCTTCTGTAGTCGGGACAACCACGCAGTAGCTGGGGGTATCGCGCAGGCGCGTGGGGGTGGTAGAAAGGGTGGTGGGGTGGAAGGGAAGGGTCTCGCACAGGCGCGCCTAGGGCCGGCCATTTAGCAATGGAAAGCTAAGGGATGGAGTGACAGTCCAGGCGCGGGGCACTCACCCGGCAGCGCAGTCGGAGCGGTTTCTCCTACAGGTTCCTAGCTTTCTTGAGGCTGTCTAGCAGGCTCTGTTACAGCCCTAGTTCAGACCTACTTATTTAGTTTTTCGTCTTACGGAGTTGGCCAATGGAGGGACTGGGAAGGCGGCCCGTGTCGCCTCCAACCAATAGGAGCTCTCTGTGTGCCGTCGGCCCCGCCCTTAAGCGTGGTGCCATTTTCGCTGTTGGCTGAGCCACAGTCAGGAGGTGGGTGAAGTCAGGAACTGCCGAGGTTGGTAGGCGTTTCCTGCTTGAAGCCAACCCGCTTCTAGTCTAGGCTTCAGTTTCCCTATCCCTTATCAGTCAATCATCTGGGAAAGTGGGTACTCATCCTTATCGTCTGCGGTTGAATCAGCATTGCGTTGCGTCCTCTCATCTTTGCCCTGATTTTCTAAGCAGACCAATTAGTTTCCAGACAATCCTTCAATCTTAATGCCCGAATGCGCAATAAAACTATACTAAGACAGATCACATCCTGTGCACTACGCCTCCATTCTCTGCCTTAGCGTTCAGGACCCTTCAGCGGCCATCCTCACGTCTCTGGACTTCAAGTCAGAAAAAAGCAATCAAAACTCCTTGAGAGCCGCTTGACATGGAGACCCTTAGTCTCCCCGTGCCAGCTCTAAAGAACCAATCAGAACTCCACAACTCTAAGCCAGTGGGCACCCAGATAACAGGATCAGAACCCAGACTCATACCAGACCTCCTATCCAATCACAACCCTCAGTCCTAAAGATCAGTAAACATCAACTCTGTCTTGCTTTCCATTGCTTCTATCTCAGTGAGAGCAACCAATCAGAATGGGGATCCCTGTGTTTTCCAGCCTATTGGTATCAGGCCTCCCCCATATACAACTGTCCAATCTGTCCAGGCCCTACTCAAATGAAGCACTGCCATCCTCAGACTCATCATCCAATCATGAACAATAGTAAATTAACCATGAACTGTTCTAATCACAACCTGCTCCCTGTTCATGGTTTCTAGCTTCCAAACCTTAATCCATGCTGTGCCCCTTTCCTCACTCACTTCTACTCCCCACTGAGCAGTGAAGAAAGAGTCTTTTGTATATTTCCTATTTTTATTTGACAATAACAAACTGTATATAAAAAGGGAGTACGAAGGTGGGGAGTCCGTGGATCTCCTCCACCCTGCTTCTCCGAGCATCCCCCACCCCTAGGCCCCAGCAGGGACTACCCCCTTTCCACCTTGTGATGGAGTGGGAATCAGCAGGCATGGAAATTGCGCGCGCACGTGTGTATAGATGTGTTGGGGGGTTCTATGATGGAGAGGGGTCAAGAACTAGAGAGGGAGCCTTTCCTCATCCTCCATCAGAGCTGGCACCCTGAAGAGGGATCTTGAGGGAGTTGGGAAGGTCCACAGATGTGCCTCAGGCTATGAGACGGTAGAAGATCCAGCATCCAAAAGTGACCCAGTGACTGGCCCAGCTGAGCTCTGACCACTTGTGGACAGTATATGCCATGCCATAGCCCTGTGGGAGAGAAAGAGGTGATGGTCCCACTCAGCAAGAACAAGTAAGTCCTCAGGAAAACCCATCCTTTGCTGAAGGCCATTTCTGTGACTCCACAGTAACCCTAGGTGAGGCCCCAAAGAGACTGGGTACATATAAAAGGCAAGCAGATTTAGTTTTTTTCTTTTGTTTTCTTCTTTAAAAACTAGATGAGACACCCTGGCTGGTGTGGCTCAGTGGATTGAGTGCCAGCCTGTGCAAACCAAAGGCTCGCTGGCTCTATTCCCAGTCTAGGGCACATACCTGGGTCCCCAGTAGGGGGCACGTGAGAGGCAACCACACATTGATGTTTCTCTCCCTCTCTTTCTCCCTCCCTTCCCCTCTCTCTAAAAATAAATAAACAATTTTTTTAAAGACAAAAATTGGTAAAGGAAGTAAGTAGGCCATTCTCAGCAAAGGAAAAAACCAAATGGCTCTTAAATATATGGCTTCACTCATAATCTTCCTCCTGTCAAACCAACAAATACATCCAGGAATCTGAGAGGCACTCTGTTGGTGGGGTGACAGATGCGTTCATATGCTGCTGGTGAGAGGGCAAAAAGGTAACTTCTTTATTTCAACCACCAAGAATAGATCCTACAGTTCTGTGTTCACCTGTGTGAATCCACATGGACATGAGAATACTAGTTGCTGCACTGTCACTTGCAGTAGGAAAGGACTGGAAATCACCTGGATGTCCACTGATAAGGGACAAACTATACTGTGTCATATCCTTATAACGGAAGTGATGAGTGAGGACACTCTATGTTCTAATGTGGAAGATTTTCAAAGATTTATATAATAAAGCAACATGTAGCATCATGTCATTCATGAGATATCTCTAGGGTAAAAACCAGGGGGAGGGAATGAAAATATATTTTTATATTTTCTTATTATGCTTAACTTTTTGAAGGATATTTTAATAAAATGAATGAAAATGTTTACCTGTAAGAAGGCGGTAAGTAGATGGGTAGGAACAAGACTTTCCCCTGAATAACTTTTTTTAAATTTGATTTTTTAAGAGATTTTATTTATTTACTTTTAGAGAGAGAGGAAGGGAAGGAGAAAGAGAGGGAGAGAGACATCAATATGTGGTTGCCTCTCATGTGCCCCCTACTGGGGACCTGGCCTGCAACCCAGGCATGTGCCCTGACTGGGAATTGAACCAGTGACCCTTTGGTTCACAGGCCCATGCTCAATCCACTGAGCTACATCAGCCAGGTTCCCCTGAATATCTTGAATATTGTTTGGTTTTTTGAACCTTGTGATGTACATTAACAATTTTTTAATGTTTTAATTAAAATAAGATAAACAATTTTATTTAAAAGGAAGCAAAACCCAGATTTTACATACTCAACCAGAATAAAAATTAAAAATGGTTTTTAATGAGCCCTGGCTGGTGTGGCTCAGCAGGTTGGGTGCCAGCCTGTGACTGGGGATCACCAGTTCAATTCCCAGTTGGAGCACATGCCTGGGGTGTGGGCAGGGTCCCCAGTTGGGGAGAGGCATGGGAGAGGCAAATGATTGATGTTTCTTTCACATTGGTGTTTCCTGCTCTCCCTCCTTTCCCCTCTCTCTAAGAAATAAATACAGTATTTGAAAAGTTTGTTTTTAGCCCTGGCTGGCGTAGCTCAGTGGATTGAGCGCGGGCTGTGAACCAGGCATCGCAGGTTCGATTCCCAGTCAGGGCACATGCCTAGGTTGCAGGCCATGACCCCCAGCAACCACACATTCATATCTCTGTCTCTCTCTTTCTCCCTCCCTTCCCTCTCTAAAAATAAATAAATAAAATCTTTAAAAAAAAAGTTTGTTTTTAAAGATAAAAATGTATTTTTATTTTAATTAAAAATAAAAATTTAAAAGAGAACAACAGCAACTACAACAAAAAGAGAAACAGAACCTGGATCCTTCAAGAGCCATATAAATAAACATTTTTAAATCTGTTTTTCATTTAAAAAGGAGTAAAATCTGGAATGTGCATACTCCACATGAATGAAAATAAAAATAGTATACACATTTTAGAGATTTTATTTATTTTTAGAGAGAGGGGAAGGGAGGGAGAAAGAGAGGGACAGAAACATCAAAGTGTGGTTGCCTCTCACATGTCCCGAATTGGGGACCTTGCCCACAACCCAGGCATGTGCCCTGAGTAGAAATCAAACCTGTAACCCTCTTTGGTCCACAGGCCAGCACTCAATCCACTAAGCCACACCAGCCAGGGCATAAAATGGTACATACATTTTAATATACATTTTTAAAGTAGAATCCAGAGCTTTTACACTCAAGCTAAGTAAAGCTATATTAAAAAATAAGAAAGAAACCTTGCAAATTCTACCTAAACAAAAATATGATGAAATGACTAATTGAAAAAAGTAAAAGCTGGATTTTACACTCCATCTCTATAAAATAAATCTTGCAAGTACACTAAACATATTTTGCACACTTCACCCAAATAAAAGAGCCAGCAGTGTGAATCAACTGGAGGGACAATGGGAAAGAACGACTGGGGAGCACTGGGTGCACAAGCTGAAGACACCACACAAAGTCCTCATGCCTCACCCTCCCTGTCTCCCTTTGTCCTCATGGTTCCCATGAGCAGATGGCACATCCCTGGGTATCCCCAACCCAGGGCCCCATCTCACCTGCTCTTCTGTGGTATCATCCACATCGACATCAAACAGGGAGCCCAAGTAGGCCAGGTGGAAGATGGCCAGGGCTCCAAAGAGCAGGTTTAAGGCTCGTACCCCCAGGCCCTGTTGGGGGACAGATGGATTTGTTTGGCTGCTGGACCTACTCACTGCCTCTCAGTACCACCTGGACAGGGGAGCCCAGGGAGATGCACAAAGTGCAGTGGGTTCCAGGAATGAGGATAACCACAGCACCCGAGGGGTGGGAAAGAGATGGTTCAGATCATCCTGGCAAGGGAGGCAAAATGGTGGAGCTCTGGGTCAAGGGTTTATGATAATAAACATCAGTTGTCAGATGGGAGGCAAATCTGAGGTTGTACGTACTTCTTATTACAAACAGAATAAAACAAACAAAGAAGCAAACAAACAAAAGCAAACCCCCACCACATCTTAAAGGACCCATCATTCTCCCCCTTGCTCATTTGCTCAGGCCACACTGGCTTCCTCGCTGTTCCCCAAATATT